GGTGGGGAATAGGTGTAAAGAATTTTATCCCCTTCATGCCATTTGTTGGATGATGGTCAGGTGACATCTGTTGCACATGTCAGTCCTTACTGGGCAAGAAGTTAATTCCCATAGACTTAACCCCTTCATGCTGTTAGGTTTCATATTGTGTGTGTTATTTTCCATGATATTTCTTGGAATTAATAGTGGAGTAGTTTCCCATTGCCTTCTCTATGGTCGTTTATGGAGGCACCACTTCTAGTTGCTGGCCATTTACTCATCAAGAATTTCTTCTGCCCTTTGTTAGGTCTTATTTTTCATCCTACTGGCTTGTTAACAAGCTACCTCACTCACTCACAAGACTTGGAGTGGGGTATCCAGTTTAGTCACTGACATTCTGACTGTAGAATACTTACCCTATATATATATATATATATATATATATATATATATATATATATATATAAGAAAGTGCCTCCCTCCAGTCTGTTTGTGAGTTAAAAGGTTAACTCTAACGTCACACTAGTTACCATTTTTTGGTTAGAAAATGAAGGAAAATTTTTTTTTTTCTTTTTGTCTTTTATTTTATTTGAATTGCCATTTTCAAGTGTTTAAAAGAGGGTTGATCACCCTTAGCATCTCATTGAAGTCTACCACCACCCCAACCACAACCAAGTGACTTTGTCTCTGCTTACCCCCCCCCATCTCCCTAACCAATCTAACCCAGTGCATTTGGTCCCTGAAATCAAGATGTATTTAGGGTCTGCCACACTTTTCACTAAATTACATTGATTTGAGGTTAGCAAGATTAACATGAAACTCCAATTGTAAGTAATAAGAATTCCTTTTTCCACTTCATGGATAGCAGCTCAGAATGAGAAATTGAAGAGTTGAATTTGAGTTTCAGACCAGTTCATTGCATTCATTTAGATGCAGATACACTTGCGAAAAATCAGAATCTGCCTCTATTCCTGCCAGCTAAGGGTTAATTAATAGGACCTGTATCAGTAAATAAGTATTATCACCCAAAAATTCTTACAATCTAAAAAATATTTTCTAGCTTTAAATAACTTGAAAAGAATTGATAAGCTGTAAAAAACAAATCAATCCATTATAACATGTCTCATTTTCTATTACCAAGTGTCTTTAATCATTAGCATCTAATATACTTGCAAAGTGTCTGTTCTATCAAATTTATTTCAGATGACAGCAATAGTGTGATAAGATGCTTTTTTTCTCTACAACAAAAGAAATTATTTAATCAATAGAATACCTGTCAACATCCAAGCATTCAAATGCCTTTTCAGCCATCTTGGATAGTGAAAATGTCTTCCCTTAATATGAAAGGAGCAAGTTTCTTTCAATAATTGGCAATCCAGTGGGAATAGTATGAGAATATACCTAGAGCATGTCATAGTGAATTCATATCCTGAGAAAAGGGAAATTCATTTAATAGTTGAAGTCTTTTAGAATCAGGTTTAATTTTACATTTCAGAAATAACTCATGAGGTCTGCAGAAGTCATGGATAATGTGTCTTTATCATGATTATAGGTCAGGTTAAACCTTTTAGCAGCACCTGAGATTAATGTCATTTTCTTCTTTCCTTCTTTACAAAGAGTTCTCGTGAGTGAAAGAATTCTCAATAATAAATTTGTCTGTAATGCACTAAAAACAGGCAAATCCATTTGTTAGTACAAATGGAATCTGATGGCATTTGTATATGTAGCAATATGAGTCAGCTGAGGTCTTGTTAAATTAAAAACAGCTGGACCTGTCACAAAAATGGATATGGAACATTTACTTTTGACCGATGGTAATGAGTATGTAAAGGCAATTCCAAAGTACAGAGCAAGAGGCTCAGACAGAGGGAAAGTAATGGAATGAAGATAAATTACTTTTTAGACAAGACAAAGAAAATTATTATCTATAAGACTGACCATCACACAAAAAGGCATGCAGAGGGATAATGCTGGCATCAGAGAACAGACAGGGAAGACAGCCATTAGACCGTGCACGTCACCCCCTCACCTACACATCTCAACTTTGCTTATAGCAGTAGACTACAATCCAAGAATAAAATCTGGTGTACTGCTAGAAATTGTTTTGTTTTTCACTTGTGGGTAATGATCTGGCCGAAGGGTAATTTTTAAGCCACAAGCATTTGACTGAAAGAAACTGCATCCTGTCAATGAGCTTGGCGTCTTTTTATTTAATAAATCTAAGTTAAAATCTAGTTCAAAATTTGTGCTTCCTATCATCAAAATTAGTAACAGCAAACAAAAAAAGAAAAAAGAAAAAAAATAGGTACATAAAATAATTTAGAATGAAATTTAAAGACAGACATACAAGTGAGATAGAAACTAAAATTCATGTGGTTACTTAGATGAAAGTAAAGCTAGAAGTGATATTTTTTCTTTTCCCGTTGGCCATATATTATGTCTCCCTTTTTTTTTTAAATCCCAAGACTGAGGGAGGGAGGGGACAGAGCTAATATGACCATTTACTTTGTAAAGAAGTCAAAACACTCTACGACTGTGAATCAGGAATTGAGTTAATGTCCTATGCTTGCATAAAAATTCAAAAGAGCTCCCATTCAAATAAACTTCAAAACAAAAAATAAAGAGGGATAGACTAAATTCATTTCAATTAAAATGAAAAATTTTGAAATTATGAAAACAAAAAGAATTTAACAGCAAACAACAAAAAGAAAAAAAAAGGAAAAAAAGAATATGTACATGAAATGATTATGTTAATTCAATTCCTGGTTCACAGCCATGGAGCATTTTGACTTGTTTAAGAATTAAATGGTCTCATCAAAATTGATTGTAAATGTTGATCAGTTAAGACTGTGCAGATGTTGCATGAGTTATCTTTGAAATTGTCTTCTTAGATAAATATATTGTGCAAAAATTTTTAAATTGATAGTCAAATGAATTTAACGTAAATTTTCCTGCATCTTTGGAGGCATTTCCACGTTATTTAACTGTCCCTCTTTGTATTTTTCATTGAATTGCACATTGATCAGTTGTAGTTATTGATTTGATGGGAGCTTCTCACTGATACATTCAAATAGATTTTCAAAGTCATTAAAACAAACAATTTATAACATATAATTTATAAATTTAATTAAAAATTAATTGATAATCTGCTTGCAACTATGGCTGCTATATTTTTTAGATATATATTTTTATATGGCTCATAAGCAAGATATTTTCAGTGATTGATGTAAAAGATGAACTTGGAAGGTTAAATAAATTATAAATTTAATATTTTCTTATAAATAGTTTTCCATGAATCATTTTATTCTTTTATATTTTCTCATTAAATGTTTCTGTATATATTAATTATTGTAGATACTAAAATTTTAATTCATGCTCAGATATAATAGATACATAAAAATCATTTATTTTTATACATAATTATATTAAAGAAAAATTATATAAAATTATTAAGAACAATAGCATGTTCCTTATTTGTTCTGTGGGTAATAATTTTCTGATCACTGGTCTATAAGGCTAGCATGCTAACCACTGTTTCATGGTAAGAAGCTCTGCATGTACCTTGTTATGCCATATGTTATTTTAACTGCTACTTTCTTTATATAGTTGAATATTCCATTTTAGCTTCTATTTTCTCTGTTTGTATGGGGAAAGCTTGCTTGCATAAAAAAATGACAAAAAGAAGAGCAGATTGGGTTTTGAAAAAAGGGCCAAATTATAATGAAACAAATAAATGAATTATATATATATAATAAAAAGGCTTAAACACTAATATACCATAGTCATAACCATGGAATATTAGTGTTTAAGCCTTTTTATTATATCCTTACTCTGCCCTGGACATTGAGTTCTACCTGGATTCTATCCTCTTGAATTATTTTTTATACATATATATATATATATATATATATATATATATATATATATATATATGTATGTGTATGTATGTATGTATATATATATATATATAGTTTAGATATATGATATGTATGTGTATATTAACCACTAATATTATCAATATATATATATATATATATATATATATATATATATATATATATATATATATATACACCCTGAAGATCCATTTAAGTGAGACCTAGGTAGGTTGTTCCTGGCTTTTTAGGATTTATTTAATTTCTTCGGTAAATCGAATCGAGTTCTCTCAGTCACTGTGTGTTTATCTAAAAATAAATATGCTTAAATACACCTTCATCCCTGCTGTGCACCAATGGCTTAGTCGTAGAATATCTGACTGATGCAACTTCAGTTGGGTTTCAATCCTAGCTAGAGCCAAGTGGACGTCTAGCCAAGCTGATGAACTGTGGTACAGCGAAACAGTCTGTCTGTGGATGACAATATATATATATATATATATATATATATATATATATATATATATATATATATACATTTTGTTCCTCACTGGTAGCACAATTCAGTGTTTTATTTCATGATGCAATTGTCAAATACTTTCAGTCAACATTTGATGATTATATCATGTGATACCAGTGAGAAACAAATATATTTATTATTACTATAAATTTTAACTCTTTTATTATACATTTGACACTGTTTTATTAGAATAAACACTTAATGCGCAATACCTTATATATATATATATATATATATATATATATAAGTATAGGATTGGTGCGGGCAGAATAAAATTCCAATAACCAAAAATACTATTCTTAAAAGAGTGGTCAATATAGAGTAGAGCAAATATGATTTATTCAAAAATTATAACATAAACATGTTATAAAATCATACATGTTTATGTTATAATTTTCAAATAAATAAATTATATATATAAAAAAAGCAGTGTCCCTTGTTATAGGGTAATAGGTAACAAGCCCCTCTAGCTGATGGTCACTGCACTGTAGTGAGTTCAATCCTAACTGTGTGCCCCCCACAACTGTAGTCTTGTTCCAGATTAAGTTAAGCTAAACACCTGTTTGTAAAAGAATAAAAATGAAAACAAAAATGACTAAAGTAAAAAATAAGACCAAAATACTTGCATATAAAAGGAAAGAGAAATTGTAGTAGGGTCAAAATGTAGAATCCTGGTCGCCCAAATGAAGCCTGAACAACATCCTGCAAAAAGAAACAAATAAATCTAAAATAAAATGTAAGCTGAATATACAGTTTTGGATGTAGAAATGGTAATATTCCTGTCTAAGCACATTACCAACTTAAACACTTCCTCTCTGACAAAAAACATAAAAAATCTAATACTCAAATTTTATAGTAAAAGTCCATTAATATAAAACTTCACTTAAGCTATAATGATTTATCTGAAACTTACAGAATTTATATCTCTACACCTATTTAAGTGTAATATCTCATCAGAATACCAGTGATCATGGTTCTCCATAGCTTCTTTTTCTTTAATACTTGTAAATTGTACATTGCTGTGGTTGCTCGTGAGAAAAATAGTGATATCTGATTACCTTCTTCACAGATTTGAATTTAGTCAGTTGTCAATCAAGGCTAGAGAATACGGTTTGTCCTGTTATTTAATCCATAGCTGGGAGAGAGGAAATTTTCTAGTTTATTATTATTATTTATTTTATAAAATTTGTCTTAAATTGAATTAAATGATTTAAGCTTGAATGTGTTCGATTTTTTAACTGCTAAGAGTATTTTATAAAGCATGTACATCCAGTGACTTTTAAACAAACATCATATTTATAAATCATATATATTAAGTAACAAACATATTTACAAATTAAATGTCATCTTTACAAATCATACATATTAAGTAACAAACATCATATTTACAATTCAAATATATTAAGTAACAAATATAATATTTATAAATTGTAGAGTAAATAACAGACATCATATTTACAACTCATATGTATTAAGTAACAAATATTGTATTTAAAAATCATACATATTAAGTAACAAAAAATTATATTTACAATTTATATATACAGTGTAACCCGGATATAAGAGAGGTTTTCTCTGGTCCCAAATTAGAGCCTGTGTTAATGTATAAAAAATATACCAAACCCAGATATAAGAGAAACCCGGATATAAGAGACTTCTTCTCTGGTCCTGACAACTCTCTTATATCCCGGTTACACTGTATTAAGTAAAACATATCATATTTACAACTCACATATATTAAGCAACAAACATACAACTCATAATAGATCAATGCAAATGTTTTGTTCCCGATTTTCATTGTTAATATAAAATGACTACAAGTTGACAATGGCATTTGTTTTTGTTATAACAAGCTTCATTATGTCATAAGTAATGCTTCGGCTACTTGCTATGATGCCTGTACTACTTAGTCTGAAGATTGACTACAAACAGCTTCTTTTTCTTACCTCTAACCTGGAGCTCTTTATAGTTATGGACTAGATTATATAGTTGCTGGGGATTTACTATTTACTCCTCCCCCTCTTTTGAGATTAATACCTTTTATAAATATTTTATTTTTTATTAGTATCCCTACTCCTCTTTCTGGAGAATTCACCAACATACTTGGCTTTGTAGCATTTCTGTCTTGGGTCCACTTCCTGTTCTTCAGTATGCTTTTTTTTTCTAGAATATGTCCTTGTATGTTCCACAACTTGTTGTGGTGCAGGCTCATCGAAAACTCATCAAAAACATCATATACCATTTTGATTAGTTCTTCCAATGCTTCTGCTTTCTTTCAACTGATTATGGTGACTTTTATATTCAAATCTTTTCCCTTTTACCATATAAATCAACTTCCTGATTCTTGCTGATATTATACTGTCTCCCAATGTTTCTTTGCTATCCTTATATGCTCTAAAGCTTTATTGCAAACCTTAAAACTTTTGGTGTTGACTTTGTCATCCATTTTTTGACTTGGTAATAACTTGTCATACACCAATTTTGCTTTTATAGCAAACATTAATTCTGCTCGCGTTTCCTGATGATGTTTTGGAGTTAAGTGTTACAGAAAATTTTGAAGTGTTTCTGTATTTACTTTCTCAAAACTTGCTTTCTTCAATGTTCTTTTGAATGTTCCTACAAACTTTTGCACTTGTTCATTTGATTGCCACTGTTATAACATGCTTTGTAGTGCTTATAACATAAATAATGCTTCGACTACTTACCATGATGCCTGTATTACTTAATCTGAAGACTGATTCCAAATGGCTTTTTTTTCTTACCTTTGAACTGGAGATCTTTATAGTTATGAACTAATTCATATAGTCATCAGGAGTGTGTACTGTTTACACCACAACAGTTTTGGTGGTGATTTCTGGGGTCTTCTTGATTGAAACTTTGCATCATTTAGTTGCAAGCCAGACTTTGTTGAATGTTAATATTTTGTTCTTGCCTTAAAGATGGAGGATGAAAAGTTGCACTTTCACCATATTATTCTCTCTGAATTTCAGAAAGGAGTAAGTGTTGGAATTGGATTGTGCTCTAGGTCTTCAGATGGTCAAAAAGTGATTTGGCAAATTTTGTCAGAGTGATTTTAACTTAAATGATCAGTTATTCTCTAGGAGACATTCTGATATCAATGAAGACATTCTACCTGCCATCATGAAGAATAAACCAAAGATTTTGACAGAAAAGATTGCTAAGAGTTTGAAAATCGATATCTCAACCACCTTTTATCATTTGAAGAGACTTGGAACAACTGATTTTGACAAATCAATGTCATTTTACACCACAACAATACAAGACTGAATATTGCAAAACAGATCTTGCAGAAGCTTGATGTGTTGAAATGGGAAAACTCTCCATCACCAACTAAATTCTCCTGACTTGGCTCCTTCAGATTTTCATTTGTTCAGGTCTCTACAGAACAATTTAAATGAGAATAAATTTTACACTGTACAATCATTCAAAAATGACCTCACAACCGTCGTCCAACAAAAAACAAAGTTTCTATAAAAATGAATCCATAGGCTTGTAGAACAATGGTAGACAGTTGTTAAAAACAATGAAGACTAATAAATGTTGTTTTGTGAGCATGTAAAATTTTGTTTTAATTTTTAAATTGGGCACAAACTTTTGCAATGATTTAATATATTAAGTAACAAATATCATATTTACAAATCATATATATTTTTGTCTAATCTAATTGTATTATGAACACCGCCTTTGAAAAAATATCAAAACTTTTTGAAAATAGTTGAGTGTGTTCAAGTTCTGAAAATTTAAATTTTAAGATAGACAAAATGAAATTGAAATATCAAGAATGATAAAAAATGATAAATGTTAACTATACATACAGAAAACTTTTTAAATTTTAAATGAAATTTCTCTAAAGTATATATTGCATTCTTTGTTACACTGACAGCAATAAAATTTCAAAAGATTTAAACTTAAACTGCTATTACAATTATTCATATGTGCACAACCAATTTACACTTTTTCTAAATGTCAAAAATGCATTACTGTAAAGATTAGTATAATACCCATAAAAAGATTGGACTACATATGATTGGATTGGCACTTCTGTCTTGGATCAAAGTATCTGTGCTCTTTTATTTAGGATCGATATATCTGTGCACTTCTGTTTAGGAACAAAATATCTATGCACTCTGCTTAGAATTTAGAGAGAACAGGGACCAGTTCAGGAGCACATTTCTTAAGGACTATTGTAGAGATACAATAAAGTCAACATGCTTTGTGGGGATCCAGTTTAAAGATGATAGCAGAAACCATGGACAAAGTCATATGCATATTACACAATTGTGTATTTAGGCAGCATTACTTCATTTATACATGTTTTATTAAAGATGACAAAGTACTATGATTAAGCTTTTTATTTAATTTTTCTTGGGTGTGTGGGTTGTGTGTATGTTTTTAGTGTTATAGAGATGTTTTATATTCTGAACACAGTTAGCACATTGTAGCTGTGTTCATAGTTAATACTATTTAGTGTTGGCTTTTCCTTTTTTATTATTAAGGCTTCCATTATTTTTAATCTTTTTTTTACATGTGGATGAGGTTATTATGTTTGTATTTTCTACTAGTATGTTTTGGATGGAGTCTGGTAAGTTTGTGTGTGTGTGGTTAGATAGGTGTAACATAAGGTGTCTAGATGGGCATGTAGTAGTGTGATGGATGTAATTATTTATGAATTTGGTTTGACCAGGAACACAGTTCCTTAAGAGGCATTTGATCTCATAGATAATGTTCATTCATTGTAATTTTAATTTTGCTGGTGTGTTGTTATTTTTCAGGATAAGGTTAGCTGTTTTAAACTTTTTGTAGGAAATAATTAATTTGACTTTTTTATTCAGGTCAATTGGGGTAGTATATTTCTTTATGATATTACTAAGTGAAGATTCATCTTGTTTGTAGTTGATGTGCATTTGGTTTTTGTATTACATAATAGAAATGCAGTTCTATGTGAAAAGTCAAAGATACTCCAGATTAAATTTAAAATTCAATGATGTTTATTAAATCAAACATGAAATATCATTGACAGTTTTATTTTTGAATCCTTCTCCTGTTTTGATTGATAAATGATTATTTAATTTCATAGAAACTATTGAATTAAAATTTTAAAAAAAATAAAAATAAGGTTAAATTGGGATTTTGTCATTTTATAATGTGTATTATATATTTGGTTTAATTTTTTAGTCTGTGGAATTACAATGGTAGTAAACTTTTTAAAAAAATTAATTTTTATCTAACTGGCTTAAAATTAAGGTGAACAATAAAATGTTTCCTTTGAGCAAAAAAGTGAAAGTTCTTGAAAGAAAAAAAATTGTAGACTTAGGATGCTATAATATATATATATATTTTTTTTTTTCTTAAGAGCTGAAAGTATAAATTCTGTCATGAGCACTAGCACAATTCTTTACACGGTGGCGACCTGTAGAATAAGATAACAGGTCGGGGGGTGGCTGTAGGAGCTGATATGATGAATAAGAACCCCGAAATCAGTGATGAAGATGGCTTTCATCACTGATGACCACCTTCAAGTATTTGAATGTATTTTGTGATATGGTAAGAATTAATTTTCAATATGTCATTTAATTTTTATTGTTGCTATAATTATGAGAGAGAGAGAGAGAGAGAGAGAGAGAGAGAGAGAGAGAGAGAAACAAAACAGAAACTGAAAATTTTATTTTCTTCAACTTTTG